AAGAAATTTGTTTTTACTTGAATTCTTGGGATTATGACAGTAATGAAGGTATTTTTAAAGCAAAAAAGTAACCTATCTACAACTACATTAGCCTTTCCAAAATATCGCAATAAATATCGTACCGTGAGATGCATATCGTGAAAATATCGTACCGAGAGATTTGGATATTGTTGCATCCCTAGTCATTTGTATAGTGCTCTAAATAAGCAACAGAATTTAATTGCTAAAATATACACAGAAAATGCTCTTGGTGATATATAAATACAGCAGACTACAGTAATAATACTGTATCACCACATTTAGTATCACAATATTTCAGTATTTTTGCACACCCTTAGTCTGTATCACTATAATGATCCTGCTGTACTTCATTTATACTCTTTTAATGACAGGAGAAGATCCAGTTTTGAGAGCCTTTTGAGACATGTGCATTCACCACTGCACCACCTGTTGTGTCCAGTCTGTATCCCCACACTGACCCTGTTGCTTGAGCCTGTGAAGGTGAGCCTGAAGGTCGGCCAGCCCTGACAGCTCCTAATGGGCCCCGCGCTCGCCTCCCCCCTTCCCCTTCCCTCCCCTGCCCCGGGATCAATCTCCAGCCTATTAGAGCCATGCCCATGCTGAATATGATTGCATTCAGCGCGCCCCACTGGTGCTAATGTGCCTCCATCAATCCATCAGGGCGGGCTGAGCGGGAGGCGGGCGGTTATGAAGTGTCTGCACTGACAGTTTCTGAATGAGGAACAGTGAGAGCATCCTCAGCAGAGCCAAGACGGCCTCCTCCTCTGTGTGTCCTCCCCTCGTACACAGCTCCACTCGCACATTTTGCTTTTAGTCATAGTTCATTGCAATGACTTCCTCAGACGACTTCAGTGCTTTGGGGGCTACTACCACTGAGGTATTGAGATCCAGTTGTGATATTTGGTTTGGTGAATCCGTCACAGTTGCATACACGTTTTTCTTAACATTTCATGGCATGGCAAGCTTAAGCTGAGCATGTTCATATCATAAACAGGGATCAGTGTAGAGGCAGACTCCTATCAGGCAGACTCATACATACACACACACACCATCCCTGAGTTGTGCTGCCTGCTGCCTCCCTGAGCAGATCGGAAATGACACCTCATTTCCATAAAGGCATTAGGAATTCATTGGATTTTCTTTCCCGGCTAATCATAGCGCGGGTGTAAAACCTTTTAGGCTTTTTAATGAATGATTTTTGACTGATTGCCTATTAATAAGGACACCTCTTGAACAGGCTTGAGCTGGGGCTGGTGTGGGAGGGGCCCGCGTGTTTGTTTTGGTGCGTGCATGCGTGTGCGCGTCAGCCAGGCGAAAAGGAGGGAGGGAGGGGCAGGCCTCCTCGGCTGGGACATAAAGAGGAAGCAGTGGCTCTCTGGGGAAATCACGGCTCATGTCTGCATCTTAAATATCCCTGTGAAGTATCAATAAGTGGGTAATTGAATTTTGAACACAAACATGAGCGTCAGGTGTAGGCGCGGCGAAGCGGGGGGTGTCATGTGGGAGGGGCTGCGTGTGCGTCGGAGCGTTTGTGTGTGTCATCTTCCCTGAGTGTCTCTCTTGTCCCCCGAGATGAGGGCAGCGAAAGTGGATGTTAAACCCATTAAATAAAGCTTACAGGCCGTAATAGCCCGGCAGCATTCGGAGATGGCCGGCGCGGGTCAGATAAGTCCTCTTAACTCTTAATGAAAGTGAAGTGAGGCAGTCAGGGCTGGGGCCAGGACTCCAGTTAACCCCGCTGGTCATCTGTCTGCGCGGCTCGGAGGGTCTCGGGGCTGCAGGACGCGTGCCAACCAGGGGGAGGGGCTGCAGTGATGATCATTTTATACACAGGGGATTTGGGCACTGACAATGACACCCACAGCACGGGTCGTAAATGAGGGGAAAGTAAGATGTTACAGCCGCCACGCCTGGTACTGCCAAATGAAAATGATATGCCAGCGTGCGGAGAGCTGGAGATGAGCTACAGACAACAATGCAGGCTTCTACTTAATACTGTTTAAATGAGGCCACACTTAGATTAACCCATTTACTGCTCACGACAATAGCCTAAATGATTTCTGTTTGGTCCTGCCTTCTAACTAGTCTTTTTACTGCTTGTTTGGTTCATCCAGTATGCTTGGGATTGAGAGTAAGGCTGGTTGATAAAAAATTTACTTTTTAAAATTTGGTTTTGTTTGTTTCTTATTGAAAAATGCCTTTCCTGAACAATGTAAACTTTAGATGTGTGCCATTTAATGCAAAAAATATTCCAATTTCTTCCTCCAAAGTCCGAACTCAGATCCAAACATGCTTTTACTGGCAGAGGATTGGCTGAAGACCTCTCTCCATCAAAATGACCTTGATTAGAAATGACTGAATCTTGATCAGTCCTATATTCTGTTAATTGCACGCAGCTCTACTTGAGAAGATGCTGTTTTTCTTCTTCGCTGGTCTGTCTTTTCACATACTTTGAACCAGTTTTATGCCCGTTGACCCTTCTTTCACATGTTAGTAGATTTTCTGTTCATTGAATTTGGGTCTGAAGTTTTTTTAAACACTGATTATTGAGAGATGTGTGCAGAAAATGCCGGTAGAGATCTATACTACAAGGCTAGCAGGTTTTCGCTTGCAGATGCAGTGGCGACAGGGTAATTAGTTTGTGCATAGGACAGTATATCTCCAATATTTGCACTTTGCTAATTGCTAAACTAAATGTGGTGCTCTTGAAAGCCTTCACATTTTTTGGGAGATGAACTGTGCTGTTTTGAGCCACCCCTCATTAGCGTGTGTGTGTGTGTGTGTGTGTGTTTGTGTGAGTGTGTGTCCTTTCTCCTCATCCCAAACCTGATTGTGTAAAATGGATTTCAATTAAGGCATAAGTGATGCTTATATAGTGCATGTCATGGTTGTATGTTTGCCTGAGGACATTATGCGTGACACTTTGACACACTGGAGCCTAGTTAAGACCAAACGATAATTGGAGAGGAACAAATCAACACAGCAAGCGGACGGTCCAGCGGATCCATAAGGTGTCATTTAAAATGGATGACCGTCGTAACGAGATGCTGATTAACTTAGTGCAAAATTAGTAATTGACCTTTCTAATCAACTAAACAAATCTCTAAGTTCCTCTAATCAGTATTGATCTCCCGTGTTGTATGACAAAGCGTGTGTGTGCGTCTAGGGGAGCAGCCGAGTGTGTAGCTTTGCACACTTGAAGCTTCCTGTCCCCATCTGGTAATGAATATCTGATCAAATGTATTAGCATTCATTTGCACATCATGCACAGTATTGTAGTGAAATACAAAGTAACCTATTGTCTCGACTTGAAGAAATTGTATAGCCGTTTTGTTTATATCCATATTCATGCAACATCATTTTATTGATACAGTAAACCCTTCTAATTTATCTGCGTTGATTGGAGCCTCCCATTGTAAATAGATTGTGCTTTAATAGTCTGTGGGTGCGAAGATGTGAGCAGTAGGAGGCTAAATGAAACCATAATTAATAAAACGCATATGGACAAAGGGTCTCGGGAGGAAAGAGAGGAGGAGACCGCAAATGAGAGCTACAGCGCGTTAGAAATCACAAAATATTAACTGCTTCCTTCTAATATTCTCCGGACAGCGGCCTTAAAGAAGTGGCATCACCAGACTAGGCTCTGGTGCTTTTTGTGCCAGTAATTGCTTTTCCCTATCTAATTTGCAGGGAATCATTTCTGCGTACATCTCCTCCCCTCTGCGTGCGTCCGGCCGCCTCCTTAATGACTTTGTTTGGGGTGATTCGAAGGGACAGCAAAGTTCAAAACGAATGGAGCCCAAATCAATTAGCACCTTCTTTAGCGTGGTGATGGGCACGCAGAGGTGACCAGCGTTATCGTTCCACTGCGGGCTACTCATCAGGATCACTAACTCCACCTTTTTATTAGATTATAGGAGGCTGCTGTAGGATGAGATAGACTTTATATCTTGTAGTGTGTTGTGTATGTTTAAATATATTGTTTTGATTATGTTTGTCTGTATTTGGCTGTGACAGAACTAAGAACGTTGGTGCAGGTTCAGACTTCATGACTTGTTCATTGATCATCTATACTGTAGCCGCAGGTGTTTCTGTTTGATTCAGCTGATTTTTACACTGTCGCGATTACTAAAGATATAAAAAATAAATCCTCATTAGCCTCATAACAAAATAGCCATAGTCATTTTTCAAGACTTAAATTACTCATGTCAGTAAGAAGACTTGGGCAGTTTGTGATTCTTCTTCTTTTTTTTTTCTTTTTTTTGGCTATAAAACTCTTTCTGATTGGCCAAGGATAAAGCCAATGATACTTAAAGATGCAGCAGGGTCTGGATAGAAGAATGAGGGGGAAATTACATTTGGTCTAACAGGATGTCATCTACATTTTACTAGACACAAAACAAAAATAATCACTGTTGTTGGTGTTCAAAAATCAAATCAATACAAATATAATAATATAATTGAATAATAATTTGCTACAGATATATCCTAAAATGCAAAATAGTACACATTTGTTACACTTTTTAATAATGTAAGTTCACAATTGATCGCATGTCTTTCTTTTCATTCCTCTCATCTCATTTGGACGGTCAAAGCACTTCCAGCATGAGGTGCTTCTGAGACATTCACTTGACTGTGAGGGAACGCAGCTTTGTTGGATGTGCAGATGTTTGTATAAATGACTCAGTGTGACACTAAGGATATTAAAAACCTGCTCCGCATTTCTAAAGCCCTTAGCTCTACACTGTTGCAGGCAAATCTGCACGCTTTCATTCAACTTCTCTTCACCTGCGAGTGGACTTAATGAAAACCAGCCTCTTTGTCACAGTGATGTCAGCACAACATTCCACACTCCATTTCAATACTAAGGAAAAGGCGTTCTAGTTCTGATACTAGTTTGAGTATGGGTTATTATCTGGGTACGGCCTACTTTGTGACAGTGACAGTGCCTTTTACATGATCTGTTTTGTGTTTTACAGCCAGAGAAATGACCAGGGGCAAGTTCCTCAACATCCTGGAGAGGCCCAAGAAGTGACAATCAACAGAATACACGTGATTCAGATAGGCCCAAGCTGTTTTTAGATCCTTCACTGTGTCTACGGCTTTAGTTTTACAACAAAATAATAAAACACCACCCATTTATTAGTAGACTATTTAATGTGTTATATTTATTTTAATTTCTATAATTTAATGTTCTATTTGAGGTTGTTTCATAACATTTTAACAATAAAGATGCTCTTTTATGTTTTGTCCCTTGTGATTCTTATCAAGTTATTTTGTGCCACTGTCTTTCCTTTGATTACAGTGCGCATGTGTGCGCATGCACCGGGTCCGGGCTTTGGGCCATGCGTCCCTCTAATGAGCAGTGGAAAGCTGGGTCCATACACAAAATATTACGTAAAAATAATATTGTACAATGTACATTGTTATCGCCCCTAATAAGAGTTGACATAATTACTAGGACCATTTATTTTCTAATTAGCACACTTTGTCGTTGTTGGAGCAAGCGGTCAGGCAAAAAGAGAATCAGACAGGCGTACCGAACGGGAAACAAAAGAAAGCCATCGGCTGTGATTAGTTAAGACAAAGCACTGGGCTGTTCCCAGTTGGAGATGTCGCTGGTCGCTCACTCCAACAGGTTACTCTTCTCCACGGGCCTCTAATAAGCCCCTAATCATCTTCCCCATTCACAGGACCCGGGGCAGACAGAGCCTGCTCCCCCGGCTGTGGGCCCGTCACCCGTGCGCCTCACGGACCTCGGTTCACCCCGTGGGGACACCAGTGCCAAGTTTGGTTTCGCAGGCACCATGTTTGGTTTGGCCCTTTGGGAAAAATAGGTAGCATGTGAAGCACACATTACAAACCTGTAGGCCTATGGGCTGTAGGCTTCTTATGGATAATCAATAGCGCACAGAAACAGGCGTCTGCTGGACTGGGATAGTCTCAAGGCGGAGGGCCTGGGTTTGTTTATTCACTTCAGTGGCACATGGCTAACTTCAAACTGAAACATTTACATGATATTTTTTTTCTAATAGAGTGTTTTTTGTGGTTTTGTTCACTGTCTGCCCCTGAGACGACAACCTGCAGAAACTTGATGGCCTCACGTAGCCTTTGCTCGGACAAAATGTCAATCCAATGTGCCACCAGCTCTTAAATTAGCTGTCAATTAGCGCAGATTAATCAACTCTTCGCCTAATTAAGCAATGACGACAGGCAGCTACCAAACATGCCATTGTGGAGGGGCCATGAGAAAGTGTCTGAGCGGGGCGGGAGGGGCCCCATCACCCCGAGCGCCCCTGTGCAAAGTTGTCCGCAGTTTCCGCTGTCATCAGCTAAGAATTCCTCCCACAGGTTGGAGCGGGTCAATAAATGATTTCCCAAACTAAGAAGCAGTCTAAAGGCCTATTTGATCATGTTTGGGATCTGTGCCTTAAAGACGAAGAAGTCACCCCGCGCCCCCCATAGTCAACAGGCAAAGTTCATAAAAGCCACTTACATTAGAATTTGCCATTTAGCCCAGAGTGAGAGAGATGGAGCCAGTGAACAGAAATGTCCAACAGCTGTTTACGTTTTAATCTGCAGCCGTCTGATCCCGCTGTCTTTGATGGGCACCCAATCTACACGAATGGCTGGACTAAATCTTTCCCTAATCTTCAGCCTTATTAGGCAGCCTGTGTTGTGCATGCAAATCAACACGCGGCCATTTTGATGGGAGATGGATTCATGCAGAGCCAGGAGAGAAAGAGGGAGAGAGATAGAGATAGATATGAGATAGAGAGAGAGAAAGAGATACACGGAGAGAGAGAGAAAGGCCATCCTCACTCAGCTCTGTGAATTAGTGACTTACTTGATCCCAACAGGCTGATGTGTCATTAGCATATCCTAATAACAGTCATTTCTTCATTAATACTATCCCACTAAATAGGCCCTAATTACTTTCTACTGCCCGGTCACTAATTGCACCAGCAATATTTTTCTCCGCAATCAGAAGCTCATTTCCCTCAGTTTGATCTCAAATATCAGAGGCTGTCTTCAGTCGATTTAGGGCTTGACATCTGACTCATAGGTTCATCTTTTACAGGTCTGGAAACTTTACGCATTTGGCATAAAAAATATTATTATTATTATTATTATTATTATTATTATTATTATTATTATTATTATTATTATTATTATTACATTGTTGCTGCATCATTTGCGCAACCAGTGTTTAATCTTGGCTGGTGCTGCTGGGGGATTAGACGCGCGCACTGGCTCGTGGTCCAGCTGTCGTTTTGGGAGGCCCTTTGATTCTCGTGTGATGAGTTTTTCGGAGCATCTGGAGATCAATTATCAACTCGTGTGTGAGCGTGCGTCTCGACGCACGGGCCACGTATTCTGGTAAAACTAGCCTAACAGCTCCATGTTGTCTTTTATAGTGTGCACTGGGGCAATTCTCTGCAACATGCTGTCTGTAAAAGGCCTACTAAAATAAACAAGCAGGCGAGCCAGGCCAAGCTCTGAACCATCATACTGCACATGCCTTGTCTTTTAGGCCTGTGTTTTTAATGTGCTGCGTAAATCTTTCGGGTCATCAGTGTTCATTTTCGCTGCTTTTATTGAATGAAAAATGCTCCATCCTCTTCAGCTCTTGCGCCTGTGGGCCAAGGATAACCCACCCATCCGTTCTTTGTCGCCTCTTTTTCCCTCTCCTTGTGCTGTGTAGTGTGCCTTTCCTGAAGCTGCAGTGCGCTGTAAATCCGTGCTGCTTTATCCAGTCAGATAGTGCTGGGAGAAATTCTGATACCCTGTGTAGCCACAAGGCGTATAATACATCCATGATCCACAGGAATCCGGGATGCTCGCTGCTGATTGGCTGCGCGTCCTGCCTCTTGTTGGGATGGACCTGTTGGATAAAAGGAGCCTTTTCTAAGGGCTCTTGTGTTACGCGGAGGATCATGCACTGGGGACTAGCCTGTAAAAGCACATTATAACAAACAGGCCTTTGACGCTCCGGACTCGACATGACGGGGAAAGCGAGCACAGTCCTCTCAGAAACTTTAAACATCCCGGACAAGACCACTGTGGGCGCGAACCAGCCACCGAAGACCAGCGGCGTTAACCCGCCCACAAGGTGCACGGGCTTCGGCATCCAGGAGATTCTGGGGCTCAACAAGGAACCGTCAGTGGCCCCGCGAAGCCCCTTGCGCACGCTGCCGGCTGGGGCGCACCTCATCACCGCCAGATCTGTGCTGGGTCCCGGTGTGGGCGTGGGAATGGGACTGCTCGGTCCAGGAGCTATCCCCTCGTTTTACAGCCAGCCGGCGTTTTTAGAGACGGTTCTGTCGGAGGCACAAGACGTTCACCTACAGCCGCGGCACAGGACTCTAGGCCCGCTGGAACAGACCCACTCTGCCAGCTCAGGTTCAACTCTCTTTCATTCAGAAAATCTATAGTAGGATTGGTCCAAATCTAACCTAACCATTAGCTTTGTCTTACTCTTCTTTTTTACTGTTGCTATTATTATTTTGTCCATTGCCTTTTCATCTTAATTTTTGTTCAAATTTAGACTCGGAAGATCTGTCTTCAAATGAGCACAAAGTCTCAAAGTCCTCGGTGAACCAGAGCAAAAAGCGTAAGAAGAGGCGACACCGGTGAGTTTGTATTTCACCAAATAAAATACACACAAGTCTATTCTTTATTCCTTATAGGCCTATAGCACAAAACTAATATCTATCCTTTCGGGCCAATTGGCCAATAACGCACAAATTTTTTATTCTACCTTAATATTTTCATAATATATTATTTATTTAGCATTTTTTTATCTGGTCCTAAAGTCTTTTTAATACAGTGAACTAAAGAACTGGTCACTGTATTTCATACTCAAGCATGGTTATTTTACGATGTTAACGTAACGTTTCCATATAGGCTAATCTTAATTATGAGCATTTTCTTACATAAAAAGATAATTAGCCTTGGTAATTAGCCCATTTTAATTTACTGTATCAAATTCCACAGGACGATATTTACCTCCTACCAGCTGGAAGAACTGGAAAAGGCCTTTAACGAAGCGCACTATCCAGATGTTTACGCACGAGAGATGCTGGCCATGAAGACGGAGCTGCCTGAGGACAGGATACAGGTAAAAGGCAATACATGTTCACTACCCATTTGTCACAAGCAGTCAAGTATTTTCATTCAGCCTACATTTTAAATCGCTGTTTTATGCGTATACATTTGATGCTGTTAAACTCGCGTTAATTAGCTTTACGCACCGCTGTCAGTGATTTCTCTCGAAACATTTCAAAACAATGATGAGGAAATGTTTTTTATTAATTAGGCTATTGTGATTTTTTAAAACTTGGTATTATTTAACAGATTATGCATACTTTATTATAGGTCAATTTAATTACCATATGCACAGCTGTGAGGCAAAATTTAGAACACAAGAAATTGCGTGTTTAAGAATACATTTTTATAACTGATAATTAAGGAATAGTTTTTAGATTTTAGCTATCCAACATTATATTTTCTCTAATTAGCTATTAAGCTAATTTTAAATGAGAACAAACTATTAATGTTTTAAATTCTTAATACTAGCAAAAACAAGTTATAAAGAGCACTCTCCTTGGGTATAAGTGTCACGTTTACGCACGATGAGTGGTTCCGTTTCTGTTACTTCGGACAGATGACGCTTAATGTTTGGTGCAGTTTACGCACTGTCCTCTCTCCGTGCGTCAATAACGTGGATGAAATTGGCTCGGGCCCGTGGTGCAGCCTTGTAGTGTAAAAAGAGGAACGTCGTAGCTGCTCGTAAATCGACCCATGCAGCCCTCCTCTCCGCGCAGAGCCAGGACACCGCATCACGTCCCATCAGTCTCAGTTGGATGTGAAACAATTTGTTGTCGGAAAAGCAGCCGCTAACGACCTAATCAAGCTCTCAAGGCGGAAGGAGATTGCCGCGTGACCTGGACCATCCATCTGCCGCGCGCCTTTTAATCTTCTTCTCATTACGCGCGGCAACACCACAGCCCAGAATAAATAATAGCGGCAAATAAATAACGAACCTCTCCCAAATAAAATGAACACCCAATTTTCTCATTGAGTGTAATTAGTTAAATCAGAAGCCGTGGCTGCTGCTGCTGGAGAGGCGCAGGGAGTTCAAATGAAATAACTACATTGAATTTATTAGCACGGGTCAATAGCGCTGCTCCCGCGAGTCCAGCTAGTTTAATTTCCCGTGATATTTGCCCGCCTGGCCGCCATCGATTGGGCCTGAAATTAACTTATTTTTCAATCAGCCTCAGCGTGCCCCAGGGTCGCTCCTCCTCACAGCTTCCACGGCAGCGCCTTTTGAGGGCCAGAGAAGCAATTTCTCATAAAAAGTGTCTCCTATGGAAAAGGGGGTTATCATCAGAATTGCCTGCAAAAGAGGCCTCTAAATGCTTGGATCGGTTTCAATTGAATATGAGAGGCTGAGACCGGCCCCTCCTCCTCGGCCTCACAGAGCCACAGTGGGCCCTGGCGCGGGTCTTTAGCGCGCAGTCACGTGCTCTTCAGTTAGTCTGGACACTGGACAGATGCAGTGGAGTCAGTAGCCTCACTGTCCCAGTGAGTTAGAGATCTATACGTTTGTACAGTGGGCTGCAGATGAGCGCTGACAGCAGGCATACATCCCTCACACCTGTAGTCCTAGGGCTTATGGGAAATCAATGAAGGGAAGAATCAAAAGTGCTCACTTGTTATCTTAACTTACTCATGATCAATAATGAGATGTACCCAAAATATGTATTATATACATATATATATCAGCCTTCAAGCAGGAATGAATTCATATGTAGGCAAGCAATATTATTTAAAACAATTAAAACTGAATGGATGTGTTTATGCGCTTCTAATATATCATATTTAATTCATAACAGACCATAAACAGGGAGTTGGGATGTAAATTGAGGTATTAATAACAGTATAAGAACACAGACATAAAAAAAGAGAAAAGAATAAAGGTCAGGTCAACACAGGTTTGTTGAGAACTTAGTGTTCATCTTTGGGCCTAAGTGGGTTTATGCTGGACATTGACCTGTAATTGTGTGTATACATAATTAAAATTAATATTGTATTCATAAGACAAACATGGTGGTTGTGTTGCTGCAGGTGTGGTTCCAGAACCGCAGGGCCAAGTGGAGGAAGAGGGAGAAGTGCTGGGGCCGCAGCACTGTCATGGCGGAGTACGGTCTGTACGGAGCCATGGTCAGACACTCCATCCCTCTGCCCGAGTCCATCCTTAAGTCTGCTAAAGATGGCATCATGGAGTCCTGTGCACCCTGGCTGCTCGGTGAGGCACTCTCTTCTTCTCAGTCCAGTCGAAATTCAATGTAGTAATGACAGAAACATCAGAATACACACATAAAGCCCATTTTATGTAAGCCAATAAGAATTTTATCACACTGTGTGCAAAGAACCTGCAATAAATACTTTCCGATTTAATATTTTCTCCAATGTCAGTAAGGCAGGAAAAAAAAATTAAATAATGTGAACAACTTTTCTGGTGGAGGGTCTGTCACCTGCTTGTCTTCATGGTGATGTTATTGCTTTGTCTAGAATCTTCTACGGTAGAACATGGCTACATTACAGGTCAGATGACAGTTTTATTTTTGAGCAATAGAAACACCTGCACTGAATAAATGCTAGAGAGATTATGTTTAATGTCATACTGTGGAACATTCAAGGCAAAGCAATAGCACCCTCCACCAGAAAAGTTGCACAGTGCACCTTTAAACTGACAAAAATGACATTACCAACACACCTATAGAGCTTCACACTGGTCCTCTCCCATGACATTGCATTACAACTGTCCATCCAAACTCCATTCTAAACCAGCACTATATTGCTTACTGTTTCCAGTCCAAGATGGCTTACCAATCAACAGGCGCTATTCTAAATCTGAATACCCGCCACTTTTTGCAGGGATGCACAAAAAGTCTATGGAGGGCGGCGCTCCCCAGGCCCCGGGACAGTGTGACTCCCCCCCCTCACCCCCCACAGCAGCAGGCACAGCAGACGCAGCAGCCGGGCCCCCAGAGAGACGACGAGACGGAGGCGGAGGACAAGAGGGCGGAGAGCAAGTCCGTCATGTCCAAAGAGGAGCTGAGAGAAAACAGCATCGCCGCACTGAGGGCCAAAGCGCAGGAGCATAGTGCCAAAGTGCTGGGGACAGTGTGTCAAAGCAAAAATGAAAGACAGTCGGATGAAGAAAGACCAAGTGAAGCTCCAGACAGTCCTATAGAGGAGCCTACAAGTCCCTGAAGACATTTGACTGTGAAACAAGTACTTAAATGTGTACTATTGAACCGTCTGGACAGTTCAAAGCACTAGAGCCTGTATATATGTTTCACTGTGGCATATACGGACAGACCAGTGGCCATTTGAATATTTACACGTCTCCTGGATGCGGCGTTTACATGTTATCTCATTTTATTGTGCTACAAGTGAGAGCCATCCCACCGACAGAACTCTTTGAAGAGAAAAAGAAAGTAATTTATGGCAATGTATATATAAAATACCCAACAGAGGCACAATTTCAGCTGGTTTCTTGTAATCTTGAAATGGTTGTGTTTTTATTTATCATGTACAATTCAATATTAAACAGCAAATAGAAATAATGTTTTATTAAAATCCAACTTCTTTGTGTAATTCTTTTCAAATACTTTTACTAATTATTTGTCACTCTCTTGATATTTACTACTTTCGGAATACTTTCTGTCCTATATGAGACTAAATGGATTCTCTTGTGAACTTTAAACCATGTTATAATGTTGTTACCTCATCAGAAACATAGCTTTATTATTAATCTGTTTATATCTCCAAAGCTCAAAATGCTCTGTTTCAAACTGTGATGTAATGAAGTGGTAGTTTTCAATCATCTACCTTTAGTTCAGTAGAAATTGGCAAATCCACATCTGGAATCATCAAAATGATACTAGAGATGTTGTTTGGAGTTTAAAAAAGTGGAGCTCTTCCTGTATTACAGCATGACATCACAAGGTGGAACAGAGTGTTTACAGTTTAAGAGAAAAATATGAAGGATTTGTGCAGCGAGTTAAACATGTGTGAATGAAACAAAACACAACTCTGGGTATGTTTGTGATGAGAAAACAACATTATGAGCCAAAATAGTATCTTTTAATCCTGTCCTTTTAATCACAGAGTAAAATTGAAAAGATTTAGGGTTACTATATAATATTAGGTTTAAATTTATTATGGATAGCTTTATTTATTGGTATATATATATAAAAGGGCCATCATATTCTTATTGCTTAACAAATCTTGACAAATTGCCTTGTAACTGCATTTGAATTCATCTTGCATAGTCATTTTAGGTCCCTAACCATCATCCAATTACAGCCCTCGAAGTGAGTGACAATGCGGCAAATCTATTCATCAATAAGTCAATACTGTTAATTTATTCAAAGCTTTTCAGGAAGTTAGACGAGCTTCTTCTGGCCACATGCCTCAGATAGTGTGTTCTTTGGCTCCAACGTAAGATCCATAGGTCAGTACAACTCAGGCTACTTTAAAGATTTAACATACTGTACACTACACTACATTTGACTTCTACTTGTATAATGTTATTTTAAAGATGCGCTTCTAACTTCTCTTACTGAGGGTCCACCTTATTTACTTTGCATAGACTATTTGATTACAGAAGATTTTCATGCTCAAAAATACCCTTAAAAACATATTCTTGCTGTAATGATGTGACCTGTAAATCTGTCTCCATGGAGATAAATAAGTCTAAGGCCATATTGAGGCACATTTAAGGCAAAGATATAACACATCTATACAAAAACAAGTGGCAGACTCTCCACCTGAGGAGTTACTTAGTTCACCAAGTACCATGACTATCGCTGGATGACATCTCAGCAGTCTATAAGTCAATAATATTTAATAAAGACACCAAAATCAAGATTTTTGTTTTAATACAGTGAGTTGTAGGTTCACAAATACAAATGATCAAGTTCAACATTTGTGAATTTACCTTTTGGATATTCTATAATTCAGTACAATCTTACTATCAGTAGGAAAATCTGGCTCTTGCACCCAAAAAGTGAGTATTTTTTGCATCTTATCACATCTTATTGAAATATAATAATAAAAACTGTAGTAAGCATATGATGCATTTTGTAGTAGAATGTGCCCTCCTTGGCCCAGTTGCAGTTATAAGACCAAGAAATACATGGAGTACAGTGTTGGATTAGTCTAGTATGTAATCCTGCGAGAGTGGAAAAGGCCAGTTTTCAAAGATCAGATTTGTGGAGATCCAGCTGTTTGCATTTGATATGAGGAGGTAATTCAACAGTATCCCTCTGATGGACCCTGCAGACCACCTGATCATCTCATCCATGATCCATGCGCAGTGAGATCAGGAGGTTTAAACTCACACTTCAGACTAATGTAATATTAACAGTCTGTCTCCTCTGAGGTCTGAGGGATTTTAATGCAGAGGTGAAGTGCTGCCTAATCGTTTTGGGACACACTAGAAGCAGGTTCAGGCTGTAGGTGTGGTGAGTCAAGCCAAGTGTGTGACTGCCATCTGCTGGGTAAATGTAATATTGCATTTACAACAAAGATTTATTCAAGCTCTTTAATTACTATTTCTAGAATGCTTTTTAAAATACTTTTAAATTTATACAGATAGCTTTTGATCGTTGACATATTTGTAATCTGAAAGGGCAAGATCATACAAATATAAGTTAGATGTGGTCTTCTCTTGCATGTGTAGGCCTATCTCAAGCAGGAAAATATTAAGCCTAAACACTGCAGAACTGAAGATCATTGTAAATGTTTGGAACTTCCATTAATCAGAATCAGAAGATAATTGTTGGGTGGACAGTCTGTACTATTTCTGGAGATTATTATTAATATTTTAGTAATGTATACAGTCTGTGGTCAGTAGACTAATTCAGTGTTTCAGATAAAAGATATTGACTTGGTGGAAATGCTTACTGTCTGAATAAACAAAAGAAAAAACAACCAACCAAAAAAAAGTATATGTTTTATTTTGGACTATTTTGGACACCAGCCCTGTTAAGACAAGAACATACAGGGCTTAATGGTACTGGGTGACCAGAATTTCTAAATCAAAAACTGGGACACCCCTGGTTTGGGTTGATTGGTAATAATAAAACTGTGAAACGAGTGCATAATTAAGGAAAACTGTTCTGCACATGTGAGTCATTATAGTCACATTTTCTTTGTGTTTTGGTCAATTTTAAGCAACTTTTCTTTATTTTACCTAAACAAATATCAATATAGGCCCCTTCTCGCTGTTGGCAGGTATAAAATTGGTCAAAAATAGGGACATTTTGTATGAAACTGGGGCAAATCAATGAGTTTGGGTAAATCTACTAGGACAGAGGACACAGGACTCAAAACTGGGACTGTCCCGGGTAAATAGGAATGTCTGAACACCCTATAGGCAGATTTATTAGCTTGTTAGGAGTACAAAAACCTGCAGAAATGTCTATTTGCTGGAAGCTGTTCATTTAAAACAAGGAAATCACCTAAAGACATGTGAATTTGAAGTACCAGGAGCTGCCTCATCAGGTCACACTCTTCACTGCCCGGGAGGTGGCGCTAAACATTACGCGCTACATTATTTACCAGCAGCGAAGAAGCAAAGGGGCGACGCAGATGACGCAGAAATCCCGGAAGAGGACAGGTGCGGCGTTCAGCGAATATTATAATGAGGAAAGTGCTTCAAAGTTTCTCTTGTTGACATATGGAGTCGGACAAAGAGTTTAAATGTGCGACTTTTGTGTGAGATTGGTATCGGAAAAGCTAAGGGATGGGTTTGAGCACAGCCCTCGGAGAATCCTACACGGTGAGATCTTTTGTTGTGCCCTGAGTCTTCCTGAACACAGATCTTAATGAATATACTTCAGTTTTCCCGACTTGTACCATCTGCTCGCTAAAATTCCACAATTCCAGATTATTTTCTAATTAAATTTTCGTCCTAATGTGAATATTTGTCGTGTTCGGGTGTTTTTGGGATCTCCTGGCTGGCACTACCCAAATATTACTAATAATTTCATATCTAGGCCCGTGATTAAATCTATTTATCTAATCTCTCTTATTTCCTTTCTCAGGATAATCTCATCGGTACTTTACTTGCCATTTTTGGAAACTTGTTGGTCAGCATCTCTTTAACAATTCAGGTGAGTTCATTTTCTAAACCTCGACATGCCTTTACTGTGACTCTGTTTACTTTTTCCAATCCAGCTCAACTTTACTTAGTGTAGCAGTTTTTTTCTCTCAAAAGTGCTGCACGGAGATAACATCAGCATATACAGACGTGGACAAAATAGTTGGTACCCCTCTGGCAATGAAAGAAAAATCAGCAATTGTCTCTGAAATAACCTGAAAATGATAAAAGCAATAATAGATAAAAATTTACTGCAAATTATCCAACGTAAATCAAACATTACTTTTCACCGTGGTTAAACAGAATCATTAGAAAAAACAAAATGATGAAACTGGCCTGCATAAAAACTGGCATTAACTTCATATTTTATTGCACAACCTTTTGAGTCAAAAGGTATTTTGGCCCACTCCGCATGAGCAAACTATTCTTGTTGTCTCAGGATTGAAGTGTGCCTTCTCCAAACAGCATCAGTTTCAGCTCATTTCACAGATGTTCAGCAGGATTGAGATTTGGGCTCATTGAAGACCACTTCAGAACAGTCCAGTATTTTGTTCTTAGCCATTCTTGGGTGTTTTTAGCTGTATGTTTTGGGTCATCCTGTTGGAAAACCCATGACCTATAACTGAGACCAAGCTTTCTGACACTAGTCAACACATTTCATTCCAAAATACCTTGATAGTTTTGAGATTTCATTGTACCTTGCACAGATTCAAGACACCCTGTGCCAGATGCAGCAAAACAGTCCCAGAACAAAACCAAGCCTCCTCCAGGCTTCACAGTAGGGACAGTGTTCTTTTCTTGGTATGCTTCTTTTTTGCATCTGTGAACATAGAGCTGATGTGTCTTGCCCAAGAGCCCAAGTTTTGTCTCATCTGGCCAAAAGACATTCTCCCAGAAGCTTTGTGGCTTGCATACAAAAACAGACAATGATGCAAACAGTTCAACTAATTATAATAAATAAATAAAAATAGAATAAAAAGAAATAAGGTATAAAATCAAGCTAAAACCAGTTAAAGGAAGACCAACTGATTAAAAATTAGTTTTAAGAAGTGATTTGAAAGATGATACTGATGGTGCGAGCTTTTTCTCAGGCAGGTCATTCCAAAGCCCAGGTGTCTGGACTGAAAAAGCTCGATCAGCCTTTGTACGGAGCCTGGACTTTGGAAGAGCTACAGGGACCTGCCTGAGGACCTAAGGCTGTGGGAGGGCTTGTACGGGGTTAAAAGTACAAAAATACATTTTAAAATCCACTCAGCAAAACAACAAAACAAATTGGGAGCCAGTGAAATAAGGATAAAATTTAACTTTGTGTGTGAAAACCTACAAAATGAAAGATGTAACGAGGACAGCATTGGAAACCACCAAAAATAAAAATGACCCAGAGATAGATGTGAAGAGGTTAAATTGTGCACTTCCAATCGGCGTAACAACTTTCTTTCTTTGAAATGCTATTTAGTACACACACTTGTGGGTGAAATGGCAAAAAATAAACAATTCTGTACCATTTTAGTTTTGAAATATTGCTGAGCTCTTTGATTGTACAAAACAGATGGTAGACATGATTAAAAGAGTCAACAAATCTGCTTTTATGTTTGTTTGTTTTTTACATGGATTTATTTACTTAGCATTTGTCATTTTTACTGTTGGTTCCTGTTTTAAGTGTGTATTTTGTATCCCTCTTGCAGAAGCTGGGCCATTTGACCTTGGCGGGCACCAATGATCCTCGAGCTTTCTACCGCACCAAAACCTGGTGGTGTGGTTTTATTCTCACTTGTCTGGGAGAGTCGGCCAATTTCACCTCCTATGCCTTTGCCCCTCTGTCTCTTGTGGCACCGCTCAATGCAGTGTCTCTGCTCTGTAAGGCAACCATAGTTTTGGACAGTTGTTTTCATTATGCTATACAGCATTTTGCCTAAGAAGGAAATAATACCACTTTTTTCCTTTTCAGCAAGCTCAATTCTGGGTTTTATATTCCTGCGGGAAAAGTTGAAGGCTAAAGAATTTGCAAGTAAGTTGTTGCCTTGTGTGTTTATAGAATGTATGCATAGGGTGTAAATGTATAATGATAATAAATATGTATGTATAATTATCTTTTTTTTTTCCAGAACGTTACGGCTTGTCATTTCTCGGGTGCCTACTGACCATTGGAGGATCTTATCTTTTTGTAGCTTTCGGACCAAACGCTCATGAAAGACTTGATGCAGAGATTGTTGTGAAGCACCTTGTGGCTTGGCCTGTTCTTTTATATCTGGTAAATCAGAAATGGCCCAAACATAGTCAACTTAAGTACAACTTAAAAAAAATCAACTGATAATTTTTATACACTTGAGTAAGGATGGTTCATTTTCGCAAAACTAATGTACGCTTGTATTATTTAATTGATTTACTGAGGTAACTTATGTCATCTCCTACTTTGAGTGTCACAAGAGGAGTGGGTGTGTCTGTGTTTGAGCATAGAGCTGTGTATTATTAAGCATTGAATTCACATGACAATAACACCAAAATGGCACTGCCCTACACTTGCAATTATACTTTGTTAGAAAGCAGTCCTAAAATTATATTGCCAGTGTAATATAGTGTATTTTTTGTTCCACAGTTCCTTGAGGTTATCACATTCTGCCTGCTCCTCTACTTCTACAAAAGACGACGTTGTAACTACCTCGTTATCATTCTACTTCTAGTAGCTTTGCTGGGTACGTGTCGACATTAATTCAGTTTTGACACACAAGATGCAACAAGTAAATATTAACTTTAACTTTATTTTGTTTGCCTTACAGGCTCTGTGACCATGATCACTGTGAAGGCAGTGTCAGCCATGTTGGTTCTGACAATTGAAAAATCTATGCAGTTGGAATACCCTATTTTCTATGTCATGTTTGTGTGTATGTGCTCGTCAGTGATTTTCCAAGCCAAGTGAGTCAGTGGTGGTATCTCAATGCAGTGCTGAAATATTCAGAACACAGCGTTAATAGTCTTGTTTTTGCATAGGTTTCTGTCTCAAGCTTGTGCTCTTAATGACTCCTCTCTGATCGCAAGTCTCAATTACATCATTTCCACTGTCTTCGCCATCATAGCCGGTGAGTGATGGCTTGCGTGGTTTGTAAAAGTTTACAATTGTGTGTGCGTGCGTGTGCATGTGCGTTTGTGTGTGCGTGTGGGCATGTGTTTACACATTTATTTACAACTTTGGCCATCTTCAAATATGTTTTTCAAATTGCCCTAGACCGTTTTGATTTAAAGATCATTGCAACAGCAGCTTTTACATTTAGTGTTTTGGTTAAAGGGCTATGTTATATCTATGGTGTAATGTGAATTTCTTATCAAAAACATATTGGAGTTGTGTTGTGCCACACAAATCCTTCATATTTGGTCTTCTTAGTTCTTCCTCTGTTCTTTCTTGAGATGTCAACATTCACTCAATCAGTCACTCAATCATTTGGATAATTTCATCTTTGGAATTGCCAATCTCTCCTAAACAAAAGCATCATGAAGCAGTAGTTTTCAAGTTAACAGCTAACTTGAAAACTATTGCTTCATGACATCACAAGGCGAAACAGAGCATTTTCAGCTTTGAAGATGTAGACAGACTAATAATAAAGGATAACTCAGACATGTGTCAGTGAAACAAAACAACAACTCTTGGTGTGTTTTTGATAAGATAACAGCATTATAACATGGCTTAAAGTACACAAGAGTCAATTTAGAGTAATATAGGACTTTTAAATCCACTTTTTCCTTTTTTAATGTATGGTAAACAAATGTATTGTCAGATAATTTGATGAATAGTACAACATTTTGTGACTAGAATTGATTGACTGATGTAAACTTGTTGTACCAGGTGCGGTATTTTATGAGGAATTCAATCATGAAGACATTCTTCATATCTGCATGTTTCTGTTGGGGTGAGTAATGGGCCTCCTCCCTACATAAGTATGCATTGTATTTGAGCCTTATTGTTGTCTGGTTGTTTTAGAACGGCTATTTGTTTCCTGGGAGCATTCCTCATCACTCGGAACAGGAAGAGGACCAAAGCCTTCGAGCCCTATGTGACCATGGACGTGGCTAATGGTTTGTAAATGCTATGTACATGTTATATAATGTTCTGCGCCCTTGACCCACTGTACTATATTAAAGGGAGGTTAATGCTTTACATTATGGACTTTAACTATAATCAACACAGCAACACTGTATCATCATTCACAGTCGCTGGTATTTTGTTAACTTTTTTTAGTGCTTATGTTATGACAGGTTTTTAAGATTTTCTCATTTTGATTTAAGTTGATGGGATAATACCTGTTGTAAATATAAATGAGTTTTACATTAATCAAGCAGCAGTTTGTGAAGAAAAGTTGAAATCCCTAGTGTGATAGCATAATTTTTAATCATAAAGTACAATTATGAACCTAAAAAAATTCCAAACTGAGTCAGCATTTGTAACTTTTTAGCAAAAAAAACCCCAACAAAACACAACAACAACAAAATCTCACGGTACGATATTTATTATATTGTACCGTGAGATATTTTGTATATATTTTGTGGAGGCTAACAAAACTGTTAATATGCTACTTTTTCCTCTTAGAACTAAGACTAAAAGTGCTTAGAACTGTTTATTTCTTCTCGTAGTCTGCACTGAAACCGAGCAAAGGATCATGGACTATGTAGTTATTTCTGTCTTTTTTAACTATTGCTGCACCATAACTCTTAATTTAAGTAAATTTGTGATTCAATATATTGTGGTGGTTCACGATATTATTGTGAGATCTTTGACGATAGGATATCACGATATTTCAGTTATTGTTACACCCCTACAAAAGACTATTACAAATATGTATGTAGACAAGTTCCAGAGACTCATGATTAGACTTGTGTTTCCACAGGTGTCCCAACACTCCACTGCAAACGCTCGGTGGTCCAGCCTGAAAGCTCTTTCTCTTATGGTGCACTGGTAAACGAGAACTCCTCTGCTTCTGTTCCAGTCCACTCACAGCATCCTCCGGTCAACTCCCACTCTGCCCCGACCTCTCCCGTAACACTGGACCTTAAGACAGACTAATTTTAAATGCTACCTATGGCGTTGTTATTTATGTTTTAAATAATGTAAAAAGAAGAAACTCAAATCACCACATTGTAATATTTTGTATATTTGGTTATCTGTCACTTTGAAATGATAACTGTGCCTTGGTATACTGCACATATATACCTTTTTTAAGTTATAATGCAACTGACTGCCAGTGTATGAAATGAAATCATACAGCTATGCCTTCTTCCATTCCTCACTTTCACAATATCAGCTCTTTGGGTATCAGCAGAATGTCTTGCCCGGTCAGCCAAAACGGCACACATTTGAGCAAAATAAAAAAGGTACTGGCTGGTCGGGTGAACAGCATTCACGGTTTTATCTGCATTACTAAGACACACCTCCAGTGTGTTCTCTTTAATATGAATGTTCTCCTTTTCCTCAAACCAAAAAGTGTGATTCAGATTAAAATGCGTGCCTTTCTTTTTTAACCTGGTTTTAACCCACTGCCTTCAGTGACTGCAGCACTGTTGTTTCATTGTATTATTCTGATTGTAAAGTGACTGGTGACTGGTGTTTATAAATACATTACAATTAAAAGATTATTACGAAATGCTTAGTTTTAAGAGGTATGTTTATACAAATTGAGATTCTCTCTATAAAGGGCCATATGAATAGATAAGCTAGATCAAGGGTCTCCAACCTCTTTCTTCCGGTGAGCTACATTTACAAAAAGCCATAAGAAATTGAGCATAGGAAAGCTTTAGATAAGGAACATTTAGATACCTATAAAGCAAATCATTATTCATTTATGAATGCACAAAGTTAGTTATTTCCAATGGTAGTTTGTCAAATTTGTGTCATTCAGCACAATATGTATAATTCAGAAATCCTTTGGCGAGCTTCTTGGAAAGGGGCTGGGGAGCTACAAATCTCACGGCACAATATTTTCATGCTATAGATCTCAGGGTACAGTATTTATTGTGATATTTTGTAGAGGCTAACAAAATTGTGAATATGCTACTTTTTCCTCTTAAAATGCCTTGACAAGACTTAATTCAAAGAACTAAGATTTAAAAGTGCTTAAAACTGCTATTTCTTAAAGTAGTTAGCACCAAAACGGAGCAAAGGATCAGGGTCAATGTAGTTCCCTCCCTCCCCTGTTTTTTAGCTATTGCTGCACCATAACAATGAATTTAAGCAAAGAAACTTGTGATTCGATGTATTGTGTCGAGTCAGACTTGAGTAACTATTTTTAGGACTTGAGAATTGACTTGATAAAATGGAATAAAACTTGGGACTTGACTTGGACATGACGCCTGTGATTTGAGAGGACTTTCTCTTTACAGTTGATGCATGCGGTGCTTAATTTTACAGGAACAAACTGGAACATGTCCCTCTCACTTCTCTGTTACTTTAAATGAAAGTAACTGAAGTACTGTGATGGTATCCTCAAAAGTACTACAGGAAAATACAGTACAATACAGTACAACAGAGGGAATTACATACAACATGATCCTTCCATTTTAGTGCAGACTACATGACAAAATTATTGATATTAAGCACTTTCAAATCTGAATTCTTTCTGTTCTGACTGCAATGATTCACATTAAAATATTGCAAGACATTTCTACAATATAAATACTCATATATACATATACCATGACTTTTTCAGGACAATTTTATTTAAAATTCATATAATCTGCAAAAATCTAAGATGTAATTTGATATTTTTTTGGTTTAAAGACTTGAAATGACTTGAAGCTCAAAGTAGACGACTTGGACTTGACTTGGACTTATGGGCCAGTGACTCGAGACTCGACTTGGACTTGCGTGTATTTGACTTGGGACTTGACTTGGACTTGAGGTCAAAGACTCGACTTGCTAAACAACAACTTGGTCCCACCTCTGGTTTGTATGTTCCCATAACATCCATTTTGTCCAAGAGATTTACAGAATGTCTAGGAACAGACCACTGCAAGACAACAGCATAATATTTCAGAACATTAATAGTTTAGTATATTTATTTTAAATCTGTTTAAAGCATACCTGAATTATTTAAGCAATGCACGGGCAAATTCAGAAACTAGGCCTACTTAAATGTAAGAAAACAACAACTTTTTCTTCCACGCCTACTTCCACATGTTTAATAATCACTTGTGTTGATACCAATGTTTTCATCCGAGTGTTTTGGCCCCCTTGGTGACGCACAGCACGCACAGCATCCCTCATGAAGCTCCTCTGTGATTGGCTGATGCGGGGTTGTTCTGGCGTTGGATTGGTCTCGCCTCCAGAGCCAAGAGACTATCCAATAATAAACAACTCTCGCCTATAAAGGGAAAACACCGAGCCAGAGGTGGATTCAATACAGAATATTGTCTTTGATTGTTTCGTACAGGGAATTATCCGCAACTTTCAGTGAGGTAAGCGCAAAAACAACACCACCGTGCGCTCTCAAGCTTCCATAGATGTGTAGACGTTTCTTGGAAAAGCGAGCAACAGGCCTTTAACCTATGATTTGTTACACTAGATCTATAGGAGATAAATATCTGCTAAAGTTCATCTAGAATTTATTTTGATCCTTGTCAGATTTGTAGTTCCTTTTAAAACCAACGCGTCGGCATCCTGGAGTGAGATTTGTGATGTATTTAGATTTGTTTGATGGGACTAAAATGTGAATAAATGCAGTTCAGTGTACAAGCCACTAGATGTCGGTGCTCATTTACAAAACATTTTGCTTATGGATGCTTTCAATATTTTTTTTATGCACACTAATGAATGTGATCTCTACGGTACTGGATGAAGTACTCCGTTTTGTTAAGTAAAAGTACAGATACAAAGGTAAAAAGTTACTCACGCAAAAGTAAAAGTATTATATGAAAAAATCAGCTTAAACTTAAAGTATTAAAGTACCTGCTTAAAAATGTGCTTTAAACGTAAAAAGTAAAAAGATTAGAACAATTAAAGGAGGAAATGTAGTAATTTTGAAAAAGTATTTAGCTGATTTTAAGTGATTCATCTGATTTCTTAAATTTTTTTTGCCACTTTTGTGCATCTGATTTGCTCAATGCTAGGATGTTAACTCAGATTAAATATGCAAAAAAAAAATTTAATACATTAAAATAAATAAATAAGTAAAATAAGTAAAATAATAAAATAAATAAAGTAATAAATAAATAAAAAGGAAATTTAAAAATAAATAAAGTAATAAATACATAAATAAAGAAATAAAGAAAGAAAGAAAGTCTCTGCAATTTCAGCAGGTCTCAAACCATAAAGTATTTTACTTTTCAGTCCAGAGCTAAAATGTAGTGAAGTAGAAAGTACAGATGCATGCTCTTAAATGTTGTGAAGTACTTGCACTTACCTTGGATTTCTACATAGAAATATTGTAACATTTTTACCCATTCTTTCCTCTGTATGTCCACAATAGCACCACCATGCTGCGTGAGGGTTTGAAGGGCTGCAGCAGTGGCTCGGAGGCGTACAGTAGTGACCCTGAGGAGGATGAGGAGGATGAAGAGGACATGGTGTGTGGGGAGTCGGACCAGGAGGCTATGGCAGAGGAGATGATGGACCTGAGTGACCTGCCCACTGCCCTGTTCGCCTGCAATGTTCACGACACTGTGTTTGACCACGAAGTACACAGGGTGAGGAGGCACTGTCCATGTAATAATAGTACATTATGTAGAGCTACAAGTTTGTGGATAAGTTGTATTTAAGATCAAAGAGGGTTATTTATTATCCTAGAGGGAAATTAGCTTTTGTCTGAAATGTCACAGTATAGCATTAGAGCATTAGAGCGTGGTAAAGCGTTCATCCACTGATCTGAATGTTGGCGGCCGGAATCCCACTCTCGACATAAACATCATGGGTTGAGTGTTCAGATCCACTGAGCACTGTTGGCTGCTGTGATTCCAGCTCCCACAGATGAATGCTGTTGTTGTGTCCTTGGGCAAGACACTTAACCCACCTCGCCCCCAGTGTCTGCGTACACTGGTGTATGAGTGTGTGTGTGAATGGGTGAGTGGTTCCTTGTTGTAAAGTGCTTTGAGTGCCTTTAAGGTGGAAAAGTGCTATAGAACAATGTGATCATTTACCATTAAACCTATTTATCTTCATGAAGACCAAACCAGACCAAGTTACAGGTCAGATCTGTGGAGAGGCAACCACGCTCACAGTAGAATTCCTGTTTTTCTAAGTATTTTTGAGCTATAAAACCACCTGTAGTTGAATAAATGTAAGGTAGAGCTGTTTAATGTCATACTGTGGAATATTCTAGCAATGGCATATCCATAGAAACACTCAGGTGACGGACCCCAAACCACAAAGTTACATAGTGCACCTTTAATCAAAGTGCTAAAACTGAACCTCTGCAGAGTAATAGGCTGGGTGAAGGTCAGCGGACCGAATCCCACTGTGTCCTTAGGCAAGACACTTCACTTAATTGCCTAGTATGAATGTGGTGTGTGCATGAGTGTTGGTGGTCATCAGATGGCACAGATTGGCAGGCTTTCTTCCATCAGTCTACCCCAAGGCAGCTATAGCTACAATAGTATCTTACCACCAAGTACGAATGGGAATGAAAAATGCACTGTGAAGGGTATCTTGAAAGGAGCTGTATAAATCCAATACCTAGCCAGGACAGAGCATGTGGTCCTACTTAGGTACATGCTCACAACAGTTCATAAATAAAAATAAACGTTCCATAGACCCTGGGGGGACCTGAGAGCTCATCACTCAGTAATTAAGAGTTAAGAACTTATTTTTAGCAAACACTTTTAAACACGAAACCTTTTGTGTCATTCATGTGACCTCCTGTCCACAAAGGCTGTCTGTCTTTGAACTCGACGGGACTTAGGAAACACAAGCAAATCCTCACGTAATGCTTATGTGAAATTCAAATGAAGCTGGTGACTTATTTGTCTGGATGGTACGGTTCAGATCATTACAGTGACGGATTGTAGTAGAAAGCCTCAATCAAACTTGTATGTAACTGTGTAACTTTTCTGGTGGAGGGTCTGTCATATTCTTTCTTGATCTGATTTATGTATTTATTTTGTGCAAGTAAGAAATTTACATTCTTTTACAACTAAACATATAACATTAATGAAATCATAGCAGAAATAACAACAGCAAAAAAAATTGGCCCAAAAGCAGCGGGAAGAAGAAAACTTACTTAATCCCACACCCCTTTCTTTCTTTTCTTTTTATTCTTCATCTTTTCATTGTCTGGAATGTTTCACAGTATGACATTAAACCTTTCTATCTTCATGAAAACCAAAGCAGACCAAGTTACAGGTCAGATCTGTGCAGAGGTGACCCCTCTCACAGTCAGAATTTCTGTCTTTCTAGGTATTTTTGAGCAATAAAACAACCTGTAATTGAATACATATAAGGTAAAGCTGTTTAATGTCATACTCTGGAACTAAGAAGCTAAGAAGTGGCATATCCATAGAAACAAGCAGGTGACAGACCCCAAACCAGAAAGTTACCTAATGTACCTTTAATGTAATGTCTCATAGTAGGTGTTTCATGTGCCCATATTTTCAGTAGACTCTGTTGGGTTATTGTGTTTTTGTGCCAAGCTGTTTTAATATGGAAGGGCAGTTTGCTAAGTTGGTAAGTGTGTCATAAATTTACAAAAAATATTTCCAAAAAAAAAAAAAAAGGTAAAACTGCAGTTGCATGCTCCACAGATGGTTATGTCTACGAGTATAATCTTGTAGATCAGTTTGGGCTGGCCTTAGCTGACCCTCCTTGGGCTTTGTACTCTCATGTCCGGGGCACCTGACAGGCCTTTTGTTTACTCTCACCTCACTCCTCTGGGTCCGTCTCTCTATCCGCTCTGCTCCTCCTCTGTAGATGTGATCCTGTAGACATCCTCACTGCACCCACTCTATTCTGTGGCTGTTTTAAAAATAGCCTGGCCTATATTAGAGCTACAGCAGAGGCGTTGGCACAGGGGCATGGTTTGAGGAATAAACCGAGCACCTGGAGCATTCCTTTTTTACTACAAAGTGCTAGAGTGTGGCTGAAAATAGTGCAAGTCTTTAAATATAGCAGATTATAAGAAATACAATCTGTTTTGTAAGTGTTCTGTTGGCAGTGTTGGGAAGTACTGAAAGATGTACTAAAAATATATGTTCAAAATTGTGCCTATATTCTGGTCTGGTTACTCTTTCATTTGATGATTATCGGTTTTTACACAATAAGACAATGCAGCTCTATGTAAAAGTATTCCAAATACTCAGAATACTGTACTGCTATTGTAACATGTACCTTTAAAAGTAAGTTATTTGATAGGATTTAAAAAAATGGGGATAATATCTAATTGCAATTTCTCACAAGAATTGCGATTGCCATAATATTTGTGCCTCATGTTTTAAAAATAGCACGAACACGTCCAGAAGAATTGACAAAAGACTGAAATATGAACTGACAAACTAATATAAGAATCACATTTCAGAACATGTTTGTACAGCTGTAAACTACAGGATTTGCGCTTTCATGCTCAAAAAGACAGAATAATTTGTTGTTTGTGGAGGAAATTATGGTGCAATTAACAAATTACTGCCTTTGTGATTGGCTAATTGCTTCCATTCGGATTTCAATTCAGTTGCAGCTAATCTTGCAAACATAATATTGGGAATTCTGAAACTAAAATACATGTTCAAAGTATTTTTCCCAACACTGTCTGTAGGTGTGAGAAGAGTACATGGTATGGGTGGCATATTGCATCAAGTGCCCCGAGTCCCTTGTTGTTTGTGGTGGGGACGGACAGGCTGACAGAGGAGGTCAGGCGGGTCTCTCCATGGACTGTGATGTTTGCAGATGTCATTGTAGTGAGAGCACAGAGCAGGTGCACGAAAATCTGGAGGAGGCAGCGTGATTTGGAAAGAGATTGTGGTTATGACACTGAGGGCTCTGCTTGGACTAAGAGGAATGAGTCGCATCAAATAGAGATTATTAAGTTGTTTTTATATGAGGTAATGATAGGCCAAGTCTGATTTGGTAAACATGTATTGCACCGTGACAAAGGAGAAATTCAATTTGTCAACTGGACAAACATTTATTTAGTCGAAAATGTTTCACAGCTCATTCAAGCTGCTTCTTCAGTTCTGGTCAGACGATGGTGGACACTGCCTTATATCTGCCTGAAGGGAGGAGCTAACTACAATGAAACTACTCTGAAACTAACAGCCTACTTATTTACAGTTTCTTTTTGTTAGCTAGGCTTTTTCATCTGGACTGAGTGTGAGTATTTAGCATAATCATTCAGGCACATAACAAACTGAAACTGTAAACAAGTAGGGTGTTAGTTTCAGTGTAGTTAGCTCCTCCCTGCAGGCAGATATAAGGAAGCGTCCACCAGCATTCTGACCAGAACTGAAGAAGCAGCTTGGATGAGCTGCGAAACGTTTTTCGACCAGACAAACTTTGGCCAGTTGACAAATTGCATTTCTCCTTTGCCATGGATTCTGCCTGGACGACTAAGGGATTCTACGCATGTGTATAACACTATCTGTGGCTTGCAGGTTTCTGCTATATGCAACATTTAAGGACTATTTCCCATTATAATATTGTGTATAGATGTAGATTGTTTAAAATAGTTAATAGCAATGGTCCTCTAATTCCTCATTGTCTGAAACCAATGGACATGTTGTATTCATGTGACATGATAACATTCTAGGATCTTTATTGTTATCCTCCCTAGAGCTGGAGGTCAGGTCCAAATTGATAGATTTTGCTGGTTTATTACTGGGCCTATCCACATTAAACAAAAAATTGCATAAAGCTTAAGGTTCCTTTCTCAGCAGATTCAACAAAAGTGCAATTATTTTCTTTCCACTAGCTTCAGAAAGTGCTGCATTATCATTGTATTAGTCCAGGGATGTCCAAACTTTTTTCACACAGGGCCACATATTGACACATATTTGAAGTGCAGGGTTCAAGAGCAGAGGTCATAACAGCCGACCATTTAGAGTTACAGATTCTACAGTTTTAACAGAGCCACCACACCTTTAATAAGGCTTGGAACATTAATTTCAGGTCTGTATCACAATGGAATGTGATATTATTGAGGTTATAGTGATAGAATAAGTCTGTTCAAATTAATATGAGCAATTGGGCCATTTCAGCAAAAGACTTAATTTAATTTGGGCGGCAGTAGCTCAGTTAGTAGAGCATTTGTCCACTGATCCAAAAGTTGGAGGTTGGATTCCTGCTCCCGACCACTGACCCACAAGTTGGCGATGCAATTCTAGCTCCCGCAGATGAATGCTGTTGTTGTGTCCTTGGGCAAGATACTTAACCCACCTCGCTCCAGTGTCTGCGTACACTGGTGTATGAATGTGTGTGTGAATGGGTGAGTGGTTCTTTGTTGTAAAGCTGAAAAGTGAAAAAGCGCTGTATAAAAATGTGAAGATTAATATGGCAGGTTTGTGGGGCCACTTAGAAATATAAGGGTCAGCGTTTGTGGATCATAAATGTGGATAGTTCTTTCAAAACAGGGTAGGCTTTGTTTACAGCTTAAATTAAAGGTCCCTGCTCTCATCTAAAATTATGACATCATCAAATTCATATATATAATGTGGCTATACGGTAACTTTAATACATTTAGTATTTGTTTGCTCAACATTGAGGACCA